ATCTATCTACCTATCTACCTATGTATCTGTCTACCTATGTATCTATCTATCTACCTATCTATCTTTCTACTTGAATCCATCTATCTTCCTTCTATCCATTTGCTTCGCGTTCCCTCTATCTCTTTATCTCTCCATCTCTCTCCATCTCTCTCCATCTCTCTCTCTCTCTCTCTCTCTGTCTCTCTCGCTCTCTCTCTCTCTCTCTCTCTCTCTGTCTGTGCTTGTGTGTTTTCCACAACTACAGTTGGATTACGACATGGTATGGGCAGCCCGGCTTCTATAAACAATCAAGTGTGAGGATTTTGTGAGGTCTTGGAGGCTTGGAGTTGGAGCGCCGGCTGCGGTTATCCTAAACGCTGAACCCGCAGCTTCTTCCAAAACGGTTTAGGGTTTACGGTTTGGGTTTGGGTTTAGGGTTTAGGGTTTAGGGTTTTCGGGCGTAGGGATTAGGGTGTAGGGTTTACAGTTTGGGTTTAGGGTGTAATTAGGGTCTAGGGTTTAGGGTTTGGAGCCGTCTCAGGAGCTGATGGACCAGATGGTCTTGTCAATGGTCAAGCTGCAAGCCCGGTTGAAGCTCCTCGCAAGGATGTTAGGGCTCTTAGCGTTCAAGTTCTGGGTTTCGCACACTAGAACGCTAAAGCCCTAACGCCCTAATCTAAGCTCTAAGCCCGAAACCCTACACCCGAAACCCTAAACCTTAAACCACACACCCTAAACCACACCTAATCGTCCTTTCTGGTCTGGAGCAGTGTGGGCTTCAGGTTTAGGTTCGACATGGTTTCCTCCGAAGCAACGCCGGGAATTTTCTTATAATAGGAGTCCAGCAACTTGGCATTTCCATCTGGGGGTGCTTTTCTTGGGGGGGGGGGTGTCTTAAGATCCCATGATTATTTCTTGATTCAATAACTCTTACTGCTTCAAAATGTCTTATTGCCTCAATCATGTAACAAGCCTTCAATCCTGCAGCCTGATATCTAACAGACAAACCCGGAAAAGGAGCAGACAACCTCAACACTCCTGTTTGGGTGCCCAACAGGACCCCAAACCCTACACCCTACACCCTACACCCTAAACCCTAAACCCTACACCTTAAACCCTAAACCCTACACCCTAAACCCTATACCTCAAACCCTAAATCCCTAAACCTAGGAGGTCTTAAGGCATCCGAGGTGGGAGCTTCCGATACTTCGGCCACAGAGTTGCGGTCTACGGTTTTCTGGCTTAAGGTTAGGGTTTCGGGTTTCTAGGATTCAGGATCCCGGGTTTAGGGATGTTTAAGGTTTCTGGATTTTTTGGTTTAGGGTTTAGGGGTTTGAAGCAAGGCTTGGGACTTGAGCAGAGGCCATAGTTTCGAGGCTTTAGGGCTTTGATATCGCCAGCAACGACTCCGAGGTTCTCGGATATGCACAAGGCGAAATCAGGCTCGGGGCAGCAATTTTTGGGAGCTACGGGGTTTTGTGTCGCTGGAGGTGATGGGTTCAGAACTGAAAGGGGTCCGGAGTCGGCAGTGAAGTGGTTGCGGGTATGCAGCTTCTTGTTTGGAGATATGCGTGGGGCTTGGGAGGTGGGGGCAGGGCCTGAGGCGAAATACACACACCGAACATGCAGCTGCCTGCCAAAGCCAAACAGAGTCCACTGCGAAGCGCAGGCCTGTTTTCTGATTTTCCTTTCGGGTTCCAGCATGTAGTGTCTGTGGTCACTTGCTTGGCCCCTACCCTAAACCCTAAACCCAACCTGTTGAGCACCTTCGCCAGATTCCTCGAACAGCAGCAGCAGCACCGACAGTGACGACGACGAGACGGATGTACAGCCGCTGACGCCAGCCTCGTGCCTTGGTGCTTCGTTTCAGGAGAAGAGATGCACTCAGGTCTATACTTCTTCCTACAAGTACCGTAAATACGGGCAACTGTTGGGCTTGATTTGTGAGAGCCGCTCCGTCTCTCCCAGCGTGTATCATGTCTAGTCGGGAGTCCTGTCTGACTACAGATGCCGCTTCGGTTCTGTAACTCAGTGCTGACGGCTTTTCCGACAAAGCTCATCCTGGCTCTATAAAGAGCCGTTGTTGCGCCCGTACATCCCCAGGCGAAGCTTGACGCCTGGTACCATCTCGCAAGGCTCCGCGGATGAGGGTTTAGGGTTTCAGGTGGTTCGATTAATCAAAAACAGCCGTTCCTGCGCCGGAGCCCGCATCCTTTGAAGCCCTAAACCCTAAACCGAACCCTAAACCCTGAACCCTGAACCCTAAACCCTAAACCATAAACCGTGAACCCTAATTCTAAGCCCTGAACCTTAAACCCGAAACCCTAAACCCTAAACCCTGAACCCCAATTCTAAGCCCAGAACCCGAAACCCTAAACCCTAAACCCTGAACCCTAATTCTAAACTTATGGGGGTGTGAGACGTCGCGCAGGTCGTGGGAAGAGGCTTGGTTTGGCGGCCGCCTCCTCGCGAAAAACAAGAGGCGGATTGGCATGCGGTTCAGGGTTCAGGGTTTAGGGTTCAGGGTTTAGGGTTTAGGGTTCAGGGTTCAGGGTTTAGGGTTCAGGGTTTAGGGTTTAGGGTTCAGTGAGGGGACCTGCACGTCAAAGGTTTTGGTGCAACGTTTGTTTCCAGCTAGTCCTACTATAGGGCTCTGAAGAACTAGTACCAGCAATCTTCAGCGAGGCTTAAACCTTATGCTAACTAAATATTAAGGCACGTATGTTTGATTGATCCATTAGCCAAGTGTTGCGATGTGGTCACGCACCGGGCTTGGGAAGGTTTAGGTGTGGCTCTAGGGCTTTGCAAGAGCATGAAGGTGGTATACTATCGGGTTCGAAAGAAGTGTTACTAGTATCCCTTATAGTTCCGTAATGAATTACGACAAATGTATCCCAGACCCTTATTCTGAGTATTAAGGCCCCTATATACTCAACACGCGAATGAGACCTACTGCACTGTAAACGTGACAGAACCCTCCAATCTTCCTAGCCGACCCAAACCCGAAACCCGAAACCAGGCACCCGGCGAACACCCGGCGCCGCGGTGTCGCAGGTCTTGTTTAAGCAGAAGGCCGGATTCGGTCTGCGGCGAATCTCTCTTGTCCATTCCTGAGTCTAGGGTTTAGGGTTTCGGGTCTAGTATAATATATCGGTATTCCTTAGGATGACTTAGTTTTGGGTATAGTAGTATGATCTACCCCAAACCCCTTCCTCTAAGGGTTAATAAAGCGGTTTTCCCAACCCTTGCAGTACCCCTTTAAAGAGCCTTTAAAGTAATCCTATTCAATTGTTGAGGTCCCTAGAATCGAGAGCTTGAAATGGCGACGGTTTCAGTTGCTCGAGGGTTCTGTAAGGGCTTTAGGGTTATGGTTTTGGGATCAAGGCTTATATAGGGTAGACAGCCAACACAGCATGCGTGTAAAAATCCAATGTGCCATTCCAAAGGCGCTGGCTGCGGTGTTGAACAAACAGAGTTTAAAAGTATTGGCAGCGTGCCAACTGAAGCCCGGATCGTGGCCAGACAGCGCATGCACACACAACAGTAGCTCTCGGAGCAGTCAGAGCAGGAAGAGAAGTCGGAGAGGCAAGGGGCATAGCAGCTGAATAGCAGTTTCCATTGCTTCGGAACGATCGTAAGCACCAGACGAAGAGCAACCCAAACTTCAAGCCCATACGCCCTAGAAGCCCTTCTCCCCAAGAGGCCCTACTGGAGCGTCAACCCTAGACTAGGCAAGCTCAAGCCTTTTGAATGCAGAACCCAAGCCAAGGTGCTGAGCTCTTAATCCCTAAACCCCTAGACCACTGAATCCTAAACCCAAAGCCCCCAAACCCTAAACCCTAAACCCTACTAAACCCTAAACCCAAAGCCCCTAACCCCTAACCCCTAAACCCTCGACCCCTAAACCCTAAACCCTCGACCCCTAAACCCTAAACCCTAAACCCACATCCTGGGAAGCTTAAGGTTTGGGGAGCGGTGACCTAAACCCCAAATCCGCCTAAGCCCTCAACCCGTAGCCGTGTACCCGTAAAGGGAATCTTAGGGCTTAGGGCTTAGGGTTTAGAGTTTAGGGGTTTAGGGTTTAGGGTTTAGGTCTAGGGTTTCGGTGTTGAGGGGTTCACGCTTTTAGGGTCCAGGGGTTTGGGATCTCTGAATGGTCGCTTTGGGGACTGTTTT